CAGGAGAAAGTTAAAGGTACTGTGATGTTTGTTTATTTTAAAACAACAGTTTATTTATTAATAATTTATTTAAACATTTATTTTATAACACTACATTTTAATTTATATATATTTCGAATGTCTTTGAATCGTTCACTATTTATATTCACCACTGTCTATCTACTAATGACTTTTTGTTGATCCTCCACCAATATTTATATACAAATTGGTGATTCCAGAATGCTCCTTCACCAAAACATCTCATATCCGGAATATACCAGAAATATTATCACGTTAACTCAGGAATGTTCGCGAAAGTGCCTCCGCCATAGTCGTAACATATGTTTGGTCTTAAAGGGTTTAATTATGTATGATAATCGGACAAGTTGAGCCTCAAAGGCCAAATAAGACAGAGAAGAACTTGGAGGATTAGAGCATGACTGAATAATGAAATGGCTCACATAACATAGTTCCTCCTGGAACTCTTACGAAACTAAACTGGAATGGTTGTATCTGCTACTGAATTCTCTTTTACAATTTCCAGTTGAATGGAAGTAACAAGGGACTGTCTTTGTTTTAGCCTGGACACTGGGTGAATGGCTGCAGACCAGTATTTGGACTCCGGTATCTGGTAAGATTACTTCCACCATGTTCCTAATGATCCTCCAATCCAGCTGATTTCCTTCTATCTTCGGCATGGCTAGTTTCTGTACATTAGACTCCAGTATGTGTTCCCTTAAACTGAGTAATGCTTCCCATACATCCTGATAAGTGGATCGATTTCGAAATTTCAAGGCTTTTCCAGGGGCTGGTAATTGACGTTGAAGTTCTAGCAGTCGACCAAACTTCTTACGGAACACATATGCCAATCCTCCCGCTTCGTTGATGATGGCGGAACTACTATGGAGCAGCAAGAAGTCTTTCGGAAGCGAGAGCAGATCTTGTTGTTGCTCGGTCGTAACACCATATTTTCCAGTACCTCCATATGCACCCATAAATTCTTCAAAGATAAGGTCTGGTGTTTCTTGAAGTTGGTTTACTTCTTCTTCATGGTCACCCTCAAATGGCGCCAGCCTGTTTTGATGCACTACCTTCGGTTTACCGTTTGGGATCTTACTTATACGGTAAATTACATTATTTATTTTATTCTTGATGAGGTACGGACCTTCCCAAGACATTTGAAGCTTCGGAGAATAACCCTTTTGCCTTTTTGGGTTATGGAGCCAGACTTTGTCGCCTTCTTTGAAACATCCTTCCGTTGCTTGGGTATCGTATCGCTTCTTCATTCTGTCGCTGGTGATTTAAAGATGGGAGCAAACTAATTCATGCATATCGTCCATTCTTCTTCGTAACTGGATCACATAATCTTCACCAGCTACATCTTCTCCAGGTCGGCATCCAAACTCGAGGTCGCCCGGTAGTCTCATCTCACGCCCAAACAAGACCTTTGCTGATGTTTGGCCTGTTGATTCATTGACAGCGGATCTATAAGCCATTGCAAAGAGCGAAAGATACTGATCCCAATCTCTCTGATGGTTTGAAACCACTTTTGACAGATATTTACCAATGGTCTTATTTATTTGCTCTACCATTCCACCGGATTCCTGACAGAATCAGCACAAGGTCTCTTCTGCCAGACCTATGTTATACATGTTTGTTAAGCCTACAATGCACTGTTAATAGGCCTACTAGTACTATAGTATTTTTCATATTGTGGCTTTAGATGCTTGGTGAGTTATTGCGATGGTCATTTTAAGAACTCTTTAATCTGTCTCTGTCCTGATAAGTTTTTTCATAATTTCTAAACATCCACTGCTTTGTGCATCTTATAATAGTTGTCTTTATGACACCACAAAAGGGTTCTGGGCCAATAAGTCTTCTTCTCGGGCTAGTAAATCAGCCTCTTCGTCAGCTTCTATGGCCTCATTTGGACCGCAGGCTTAAGGTAGTTAGATCTATACCCATATAGTCCGAAGAGGATTAGAACACACCAAAAGATGGTGCAACGAGGTGGGACTTAGTATTAACCCCACTAAAACAACACTGTAGTAGCCTTTTCAAGGAAAAGAAAATCTAAAAACCATCCAATTGGATGGGATAGATATCGAATGGAAAAAAGAAGTCAAATATCTAGGCCTAAACCTGGACAACAAACTTCTCTGGAACATACTTGAGAAGTAGTAAATAACGCCATAAAAACCCTAATGGGATACAGAAACATTGTAGGTAAAAGATGGGGATGTAACCCGAAAACACGGCGATGGATGTATACAGCAATAGAGATACCAATCGGCTCCATGACAAAACAGCGCACCACAAAATCGAACAGAATGTTTTTTTTAATTATTGAAATTCATTGAAATAATGCGTAACAATTAATGTTCCAACGACGCTTACGTAGAGAATTTTTGAAGTGTAGTTCCGTCTCTCTGACATTTTAGTACCAGGCCTTTTTAGCGAGAAAGAATTTGCGCAGCACAGGTTAGCTAAATTAGTTAAGATTTTTTTTTTAATTTTGTGTCAACTTTTTCTCAAAGCAACCTGCTATGGCCTGAGTATCTTTTTTTAATTTTTAATTAGAGTACTTGAATATTTTGACACGTGCTTTTACGTCCTGCGCTATTTTGTCCTGTGTTATTTTGTTCTTGCGCTATTTTGTCCTGCGCTGTTTTCTCATGGAGCCATACCAATCATTACTTACGGGGCTGTAGTCTGGAGTAACGGAACTAGCTTAGCTACTACGAGAGCTAATAACTCAAAACTACAAAGATTAGCCTGTGTGTTTTGCATCACCGGTGCAATCAGAACCTGTCCTACTGCGGCAATGGAGGCGATCTTAAACATTGCCCATCTACATTTAATGATAGAGAACGCGGCAAAAAGGACAAGATTAGAGTGATCAGGAACGGATGAGTAATCAGACGAAACTCTACTAGCTTCAGGACCCAGGACGAAATAAGTAGTTTTGTAAAAATTTCAAAACTACAGAGCTCGGCTGTAAGAAAGAATGGAGCCAAGAATCCATCTTGCTTGCAACCGAAAGACATATTCAGTGGCATACGGATGGTTCCAAAAGCATAGCAGGAACTGGAATAGGAGTGTATGGATCTAGAACTAGACACTTTGGAAGTTTGGGTGAATACCCAAGCATCTTCCAGGCCGAAATTTCCACCATTGAGAAGTGTATCTAGTTTAACATCGAGAGAAACTATCGGAGACAAGAGATTATCATGTCCGATAGCTTAGTAGCCATCAATGGTCGGGAGATGCCTAAAAAAACTGAATGAGCAAGGCGAGGAAAACCGTTAACTCACACTTGGGTATCGGGACATAACGGGGTCAAGGGTAATGAGATTACAGTCTCGCAAGGAAAAGAGCTCAAACACTCTTTTCTGGGTCCTGAGCTTTTCTGCAGTAATTCAATATTAGGAGAGATTAAAAAAGAATTAGGTGCTAAAAGAATCGATTATTGGAACAATATCTTGGGGCTAAGACAGTTTTGGGTGAACATAACCAAATATCGGAAACCTGTATCTGCCCGAGCAAGAACAGGCTACCCATTGTAACAGGGATCCTTACCGGGCATTGCACACTTAAATAGTAATCTGACAGTAGTAGAAGATAGTGAATGTAGATTTTGTGAGGAGGAGGAAGACGAAACCATTCACATTCTGACTGAATGTGTAGTATTTCAGAATCCAAGGACATACCAAATAGAAGAGGGCGATCAATCTAACTTGAAGCCATTCCAAATTCTACATTTCCTTATGAAAATAGGATTGAAAGGGTTGTTATAAATATCGAGACTATTTCTTGGATGCATTATCCAGTGCCTCCTGGGGATTAACAGCTGGTTGCTGGAACAATTTAGTAATCTCATAAACTTAGACATATGTTTAGACTCTAAATCATTTGAAGTTATGTTATTCAGATATATTACAATCTCAAGCTCTACTGAAGTTTATCAGGCTCATAAAGTTTAACAGACGATGTTGCAGCCAGCTATTAAAAGTGTTAACTTTTTTGTGAATTTCTGTACTTTGTATTTAGTTTTCAATTTTTTGTACTTGATCATTGGTATGCGGTGTCAAAACGTTTGCCAAATATTCAACATTCTCTTTATCACTTAAGCTGATGATATTGGAGTAGTTGTGTAAGGATGGTGATTGGCGTTTTTTTACAAATTTTTTTAATAGGTTTCTATAACAAAAAAGTTACTTAATTGACAATTTTTATTTCAAAAGTAAAATATCCTGCAATATAAAATAATAATACTCTCCCTATTCACTTCCTTACGAAATTTTAACCCTAGAACTAGATCTTATTTATATTATTTGCCGTGGCGCTCCCGGGCGACTTATGGATTGAATGGCATCTTTCGACTTACAGGCAAGACAATCTGGAAAACAACACCAACCATCATCTTCTACAGACTAATAAATTATTGTAGACACTGAAATAATTTTTTTGTGGCAGCCGCCTATAAAGTATACTTTTATTGAGTAAGAAAACTTCGAAAACCATTTTAATTTTATTTATTAAACTACATGTATAAAATTTCGTTTTAAGACAATACTAGAAAAATTCAGAACAATAACAACATTTATAAATACTTTAATCGTACAATATTAATATTTTTCTTCTTCCTGGGAATTTGTCAATAAAAACAAGAAAATTTCAATACTATCTAGGTATTATGAAGATAGTTTTTATTTACGTAATCGTTTTCAAGTTTTATATTTTAAAAATGGCTCTAGGAAGCAGAAAAATATTAATATTTAACTAATTCTTTGGCCAGGCGAATACAATTTAAACTATAAAATAAATAATATTAACTATCAATATTGATAATTCTATAAATTTGCTCTATAAAAACGAGTTTTTTAAATAGTTTTATTCATAAAAGAATTTCGTTATTTAATAATTATATTTTGAGCCATCATCTTTTAATCAATATTTACATAATTAAAAACATATAAGATTCAGGGTTATCCCTAGAAAGTAATGTTGATATAATTAACCTGTTTAGTGTTTACAATGTGCTGTACATTTTAATTCACTATACCCTTGTAACCTGTCTGTTTGAATGTTATGTAAAAGCACCCTAACCCTAACCATATGTCAAGTCATGTCAAGTGTCTTGTCTTGTCACTTATAAAAACATGATGTTATGTATTGTAAGTTGTATCCATAGCCCTCAGGAGGGCTATGGTTGTATCAAATGCTATGTTACAATCCGAATAAATCTTTAAACATCAAAGTGTTTTAATAATTAATTATATCTAAAATAGATCATATTAAACTACTTATTCGTCACTCATTTTTAAATTAAGTATTTTGAAAATTGTTTTCCCAAAGTTATAGACAGCAATGAGACGATGTAACTAATACATTTGTTTTGTAGTGGACATTTTTTATCATTAATCATTTTTATAGTTACATAGATATTGGGATAGGTGAAGTAATAATAGTTTTGACCCTTATACTCTCATTATAAGTGTCTTGTTTTAGATTGAAAACAATTCAATTAAATAAAATTACGTGAATCATTTTGATGAAAACAATTTTTCTGCATAGAACAACAAGGTAAGATGACAAATGTAAATGACTTTGCAAAAATAAGGCAGTGAATTTGTTCATGGCCAATGATTGGAATATATTACATTTTATTTCTTAAGTCACATCTGGCTGCTTCAAGCTAATAATTTGAAATTCACTAACGCCAAGATGTAGTTATCTATATATAAATTGGCATTAAGCACACATAACAATCACAGTTAGTTGCAGCGTGGTTGCAGCACTTGCGTTGTCTTTGCCAGTTAAGTTAAAATATAAATTCATTATCTCGTCAACTTTTGTACCAGCTCAAATTAAATTAATATTTCTTGTTAATTATAATAAAGTATATACAAATATTCGCAAATCACTCAATAACTTAACTGTAGATTGATAGTAAATTGTACAGGGTGATTCATTAAGGATGACGACCGGCTGTATCTCAGAATATCTTGAATTAGATTTTTTTTTTAAAGAAATGCAAAAATTTTTATTTCAAGAAAGACCTGTCTATAATATCCTCAACTGTCATATGGCATTCCTCTCCCCTACGTCAATCTAAATGAAGTGTCACACTTTATCATAGGTAATAATTTTATATCCCGCTAGAGGGCGTTAAAATTAAAAGGAACAACAGTCATATTGCTGAATGCCCTTTCCGACAAAGTGTTATACTTGGTAATTTCCCTATTTAAATTTTATTGGTTAGATTGAAGTAGGGGAGAGGAATGACATATGACAGTTGAGGATATTATAGAAAGATGTCCCCCTTGAGATAAAAATCGACCTGTTTTTGCATTTCTTCCAAAAAATTGCAAGTTCACTAATCAAATTCTATTTATATATAGCCAACCTCCCCTCTTTTGATATAAACTGTTAATAATAATGTATGTATTAATTTTAAAACCAAAAAGGTAAATTTTTGTTTTCTTTTCGCAACTGGTTACAATGAATTTTTCGTAACCAGTTTCATAATGATCAACTTTATGCAACTGGCTGCGATTATATGTCAAAATTAGAAAAAATATAAAAGACAAATAAAAATTGTATCCAAATTAATTTGATCATATTGAGTTTTTCTGTTGACAGTTAAGTACATGTTATAGTTTTTACCAATGCTTTAGATCATCTTAAATTATTAAATTATTTCTTTTTTATTATATTATTTCCTTTATACTTTAACTCCAAATATATTATGTTGTGCGATTGGGGGACTGGGTAAAACCAAACTATTTAATAAAAAGCGACAATTTTTTAAAGCAACCCACAGTCTTTTTACTTATTTGATAAATTTTTAAAATTAGAAATTTTGGAGTGGTCTTGTTATCGAAATTCTTTTAGAAAATGCTAATATGCAACTTTGTGAATACTTTTATTGTTGAATTTCATCTAAAAACTAGTCACACAGCCATATAGAGAGATAAAACAGACATAAATCTATTTTCACAGGCCCTCATCAAGTTCGAATAAATAAAACACTTGTTAACATAAGAGATGTCTTTTTGAACAAAAATTATCAATTGATAAATCATTAATAAATTACTGAGTAATAAAGACACCGTGAATTACTTCAAACTACATACTTTTGAATAATATAGGGCAATCGCTTTAGTTATAAGATGAACTGCGTTCAAAGGTAACAATTACAGCGAAGAATCAAAACTTTTTATGTCAACTATTTCTAAGGTGGCGATTATTTGAAAACAGATTTGAATTAAGTACTTATTTTTCACAGGACGCCATTTCTGTAACAATTCATCTTCTGACTTTCTGGCGATGAAGCTGAAATTCGAGATTGCAGAGGTTTAGAGTACAAACCTCGATTACATAATTCAACTATTTCTTTTATATCTCGGCCTCTTGTTTCTGGAAGATAATAGCTAAAAATGAAAAAATCATTAGATTTTACCTGTACAACTTAAAAATATTAAAGGAACCAAAAGGGGTTAACGGCTTGGATCAGCAAAGAAAACGTTTATTTTGTGCAAAAATTCTTTTATTTAAAAAATGCAAAGCGCTTTCAGCATTATGTCATTCTTCAAATGCTTATTGTTAAAAGACATCCAATAATATCGGTCATTGTGTATCCAAACATTAAATGCTAAATCACCATTATTATATCATTATTTAGAGAAAATATTGATATTAATAAAAATATAAAATTGTTAAATTAGATTACATTAATTGAGACAGAAATTAAATATTAAATAAATGCATTTTTATATTAATATAACTAATTATTTAAAAAGGTAAGTATGCATCGATGTAATACGCTGTTGTATAATTAGTTATCTAACAGTCAAATAGCTTAAATAAGATAAAAAAACATTATACGAGGCCATTTCAAATAGTTCATTTTCTAACAATTTTGTTAAAAATTAGTTTTGGTTTATTTGTTATAAATTAAATTTTTTCACCCACTTTATTAAGCCATTTTTATTTAAAAAAATTCCAAATTGGAAAACCAGAAATAATTTTAAACAAAATAATAATGGTGATTTAGCAATGTGGGACCATCCAACATTTAATGTTTGGATAACACGATGACGACCGACATTGTATGTCTTTTGACTGACAATAAGCATTGAAGATGGTGTAATGCCGAAAACGCTTTGCATTTTATAAATAAAATATTTTTTGCACGAAATAGATTTTTTTGCTGGTGAAAAAAATTGATTTTTAAAAATATCAGATAAAGTTTAGAAGCTATTGAATTTAAAATGAGACTAGTAATAAATAGTATATTACGTAACAAGAGTTGTAAGTAACCCATTGCGTAATGGGCTTACAACTCGTGTAACGTACTATATTTTTTCTATTAAATAAAAGACTATGCTTGTGTCACCAATCCATAAATTTTCGATAGGTAATTTCGTTACTGTCTTTGAATTTTAGCGGTAACCAATTATGTGTGGCAGCTGGAGCTTTTTCTAAAATCTCTGGTGGAGTGCTCATAATTTCATCACTTTCACTACCAACAGACATAATCGTAGGTAAAGTTGAGAAAATGTTCGAATACAATAATATTTTGTTACAAAAATTGACAATATAAATGACAAGACGTTCATTTTCATAGCATGCTAAAAAAACTCGACTTATTTTTTCAAAAATTATATAATGTGTTGCCGACATTTAGGAGTATCACTTTTTTAATCCAAAATGTATCTATTGTACAAAATAACCGGAAAAGCCTGAAATAACTGTGAAAATTTTGAGTTCGGAAAATAAATGAATAAGTATACACTGTTCACAGTTTTTAAATCTGGCTTGACTATGAAAGTCAAATTGTCCACCTTATACAGGGTGTTCCTAAACAGCGAATTAATTTTTAGGACCTAATTTTAACAGCTATTTTTATTTATTACACGCCTATTTATTTCAAATTAATTTATTTTTATTTATATTTTTTTCTTACCTTACAAAAGCAAATAATCCTATAACGATAAGAGCAAATAGGAAGAACGAAGCTGGACCTATATAATATTGCATAATAGGAAATGTCAAACCAATCACGAAATTACCACTCCAGTTAGACATACTTCCTAAAGCCATTGCACTGGGTCTAGGTCCAACTTCGAACAATTCAGATCCTACAAAGTAAGGAATAGGTCCAAGGCCAATACCATAACTCAGGACAAATCCTAGCACTCCTACTATGCTTAAATAAGGCACAAATGAGTACGAATTCTAAAAAAAAGAATTGTTAAAAATACAAACATTTTTAACAGTATTAATAAACAATTAAATAAATAATTTAAACAGGGCACTGTTCGCTACAAACGCTGATACAGTAAACGCCAAATCTAAAGAACCAGCGCAAATGGTCAAGTTCGTTTACTTAAAAATCGCCACGCCCATTCACAATTTGAACCTTGTCCTTGCTTACGGTCAGTAGCGTAACGACTAGATCATTGTTTGTTTCTTGTTTCTTTGTTTTGGTTAAAGTGACTGGTTTTATTTTTGATAATGTCTTCTATTGTGGGTGAAAAAAAGCGCAGATCTGTTATTAACGGACAAAGTCGTGAAGTAATATACAATGTTTTTAAATATTTTGACGTAACAAAAAAGGAAGGAGTTACTTTAGATGATATCAAACTTGAAACAGCACAAGCAACAGGTAAACATACTCTGTAGTTTATTTGCAATTAAATTCCAATAAGATATCATTACCGGGATTATCTCACAGAAAACTAAGAACAGGTAAAGAGATTTAATTAAGCTCAGTTATTAATATCTAAATGATCACTTAAGAGGAAATTTGAATTTTTAAATCTATTTATTTCAAGTGTTTTAAATGGTTTAATTTAATGCCTTTATTCTCAAAATGTGAAACAATTTTTGCATAAACAATTTTCAGATAAAAATATGTTTTGTAGAATTATTTTTGTTTTTAGTATAACTATTGTAATGTTTTAAATAGCTTTTTTTTTAAAGTACGGCCCGTTTAACCAATATACAATTTTACCACAATTTAATTTATTTGAATAAGGATAATATCCTGACCGTAACAGAATTTTATATAAATACCGAACGGAGAGCGGTAGAACAGCCTTAACCTAAAGTCGGCTTACTTAAAAATAATGATTTTTTAATTGACTATAGAATTATGTACTAATAATAACACTAAGTAATATGTATGAACAAGTATCATTCACTATTTTCCATTTATTTTATGTCTTAAAATATACGCGCCCCTGGTTTACAACTTTCTAGGTAAGCTACCAATTCTATTCATCGGTAGGCGTATTCGTAGCATTATATATGCGCGTCCTTGGTTCTTTAGATTTGGCGTTTACTGTATCAACAAACACATCATTCAAAGTTCTGAAATTTGTTGCCATGGGCCTTACTTTCACTCGTGAAAGTACACAGAATTTCTAAAAATAGAACTCAACTTCCAAACACACAGCCAACCATATAATGGATCCATTTCTCTCTCATGCAATGTACCTCTCATATCAAAATTTTAGACACATATTGCTAAAAAATACTACTGGTTGAATTAAAGCGCGAAAATGAAATAGGGCAACCAAGAGATTTTAAAGCTCAAACATTTGCTTGGACAACAACATATATGACTCGAAGGTTGGGCATGACTAAGTGCTGTTCACCACTCACTTGTTTTATTTTTTACGATTAAACTTTCAGAGACTTTCATTCCTTAATAATTGAATCTTCGAGTATAAACCTCAAACCTTGTATCAAACAAAAAAGCATCACCAAGATGTGTCACATCACAGATAATTAAATTCCCAAAAAGGGTGATTGAAACCAGCCTCGGTAAGATCACCTATTTTTAAATGATTAAATGTTTCATTTTTGAGTATCGGGTTATTTTATTTAACATTAAATATATCTCGAAACTGATGATTTTTCCATAGTTATAAGTTCCCGTTTTTAAAGAAAGATAAATAGGGAATGGAAAACAAAACATATTAATAATACGAGTAATTATAACTGAATCTGTGACTTAAAAGGTTTGGGAGAATAGATAACACTGCGAGAAGTGTGTTTTTTATCGTAAAAATTTGAAGCTTTCAAAGAAAAGATTACTTATTAATTTAGAAAGAAATTTGTTTATCTTTTACGGGTTATATATAGAATATTTTTATTTTTAAATAATAACAATCTGTATCTCGAAAATAGGTGGAATATTTTCAAGTTATTACTTTTTTTTAACTTATTCCAAAGATTCGGAGCGTTGTATAGAAAATTACATCTAAAAATGAAGCAAATTTATGTTTGGATCTTATCTATGGTTTTAAGAAATGAAAATTAAAAATTATAGGATGGTCGCCGCCAACTACAACCAGTAAATTCATAGAACAAAATTATTTATCAAAATAAGAAAAATGTTTAGTCACGAACAATAATTTTAGATAAATCTAAAATTAAAGATTTTTTATAAGTGTGAACATAATCCGTGGACAAAAATTTGGCTGATATATTTCATTTTGTTACTTTCAAACTGAAAAACTTTTTTATACTTACTATATACATAATAGATATTCCTAAGAGAACGAGGAAGGCAGCAGATGTGGCAGTACTAATGAGTATACATAATCTTCTGTTGAATGCTGACATTGTCCATATAGATAATATTGCCATAAAACAGTTACACAAACCTGATCCGATTGTAGCTAGTTCGCTTTCTTGATCAGAAAGACCAGCTACATGGAATATTTCAGTAGAATAAAAAAATACCTAAAAACATCAACATTTTAGTACCTACATATCTAATAGTCCAGGATCCGTAAGTAGGGTCGACCTTCACCCATCTGTTTAATGGATAAAACTTATTTTTTATTAAATAAAATATGTTTTTAAATATACCGCAAATGGGTTGCCTAAGAAAATACGGTCACGGCCATTTTTTACTTTCCTTTCTGTGTACAGATAAGGAAACTATAAAAATCATGATAAAAGTTGTTTATGATGTCATTATCTATTATTTTGTTCCCATACATGATTTTCCTAAAATGGATCTAATTCGAGATATTTGAGGAAAAGTGCAAATTTCGAATTTTGAAGACAACTCAAAAACGGATGAAGAGAAAAACACCAAATTTTAAACTTAAGTTTTAATCTATCCTGCGGTGAGCTGATTAAAGTTTGTGCATAGTTGAAGCATCTGGGGAATACTTTACAGGGTGTCGTTTTTTTTACTTTAAGAAAAAGAATAGTCTGGACCATATTTTCTTAGGCAACCCATTTGCGGTATATTTATAAATATATTTTATGTAATAAAAAGAAACTTTCATCCATTAAACAGATGGGTGAAGGTCGACCTTACTTAAAATCTTAGACTATAAAACACATATGGCAGACAAGCCAAAAAATGCAGTTTGTGGACTGTTTCAGAATCTAGAACAGCTGTACTCAACCTTTTTTTTTATTTTGGGCCACATAAATCTGTTTGTTATGCTACGCGGGCCACAATATTTTTGGGTAATAACTAGAGTTGTCACCTTTTTGAAATGAAAATAAAGGACAATAAGTGACGTTAGGGATTTAAAAAAAAAAGATCCTCAAGTTGTTTTAATAAGCTTTGAAAAGTCGCAAGGGCAGGACTATAGGTCAACCATTTTAATTACTAATAATTGTGTTTGGGACTGCACAAAAAAGCTTAGAGCGCCACACAAAACAGCTTGGAGGGCCGCAGGTGGAGTATGGCTGCTCTAGAGCCTATTAGGCATTCCAAACAAAATGGCTGCCCGTGGGTAATGACAGGTTATGATATGGTAACCCTGTGGGCCTGGTGATTTGATAGGGTCAATTATATAGTTTGATTATATAGATTGATCATTTATGTTTTTCAAAATAAACATAAGCTTATGCCTTGAAGTGAAAAAGTAGGTAATTATTATTTTTACTATATTCAAAGGTTGAAAATTGGTTTTAAAACCGGTTCTGCTAGGAAATATGGCCGCTCGCAGAACGACCCGCTTTGAGCAATCTATATAACCAGTTTGGATTCAATTTAGAAACCGTGTGTAGTTATGTTATCATGATCTACTTTAGAACATTTTTTTTTGTGAAACATATTATTTTAAGAATTAATCACATATTATCTATATTATAGTCACCAGTAATCAAAAAATACGTGTGGCACTCGGGGACTGCCGCGGTAAAGCTATTGCATAGCATTTTTTATCAACTTATGCAATTATAATTATTTATTAATTTTATTTATGCAGTATTTTTTTTCTTCGATATTAATTTAAGTTTTTTCTTTGATATTAATTCAAATTACACTTTTTAAGCGTGGTGACCGATAAGAAAACATTTTTTTTCTTTTATTGAATAAATGAGAAGTTAATATTGTTTAAAATATCTGGAAAATACCGCGTCAATGGTGGTCACATATTTTGTTGTGGATTCTTGTGGATCATTATTCATTTTCAAATTCAATTTTTCCGAAATTATGTCTAAAAGATATAGAATCAGTTATGAGCAGTTAGCAGCTAGTCTACACGCATACGTCTAGTCGCACGCACACAAACACCGTGCCGAAGTCTGCCGAACTGAAACGACGTTAGACGATGCACGGCTTGCCGCACCGCTGTTCCGGCCGGAGTGGGAGGTGTTAGGTTTATTTTTGTTGCGGAATTTCTTTTTCGATTTTTCGGTTTTTGATTTTTCAATTTTTCGTTTTTTCGATTTTTTGATTTTTTGATTTTTTGATTTTTTGATTTTTTGGTTTTTCAATTTTTCGGATTTTCGATTTTTTTATTTTTCGAATTTTCGGTTTTTTGATTTTTCGATTTTTCGGTTTTTCGATTTTTCGGTCTTTTATTGAATAAATGAGAAGTTAATATTGTTTAACGTCGCACTGCTGTGCCGGTCGGAGTGGGGGGTGTTAGTTTTTTTTTCGTTACGGAATTTCTTGATTCGGTCGCCGCGCTCAAAGCCCGCGATAAAAGCTATGCAATAGCTTAAAAATTAAATGTAAACTGGTAAAAACGATCCTTGTTTCTCCAATAAAATCAGAATTTTTATAAATTTGCAATATGGATTCACCATAGAACTACACTGCCTAATGATCCAGTTCAATTAATTTCAAATTATAATGTAAAAATAATTTTACAGCATACTACCTATATAGCTGAAATATTACAAAAATTGGTCCACGAGTTGCAAAAATGTATGAAACCATCCTTCAGCACTGTATCAATAATTTTCCAAATCGTCTTCCAAATAAATGCAATAAGAAAGATGAGCTGATGTAGTGCTAATACTATATTATTTTCTTACGATGAAAATTTCTCAATAAAATAATTGTATAGGTTATTTTTTCCACTACCACCTTATTTTTAAATTACTTATTTTTTCCACTAAAGATTAATTTCGTTTTGTGTCTTTGGATATAAAATAAAGTTAATGTATCATTTGATTAAATTTCCTTACAGTTTTTATTTCAAATATTTACACTAAAATTTAGAATATATCCATTTTAATTGTTGAGCAGTGTATATATAAATTGCGTACTACTGGTATTTATTTATAATTTATCAATTAAATTCTTACTTACAGCATTAATTCCACTAAGCTGTTGTCCAGCTTGTAGGAAACAAACTAACAACAAAGGCAACAGAAGACTACGATCAGTGACAACTCTTCCTATATTCCAATTAGCGCCAATGTTCTTTTCGTTGTCTAATTGTTCTTTTTTGAGTTCTTCGATTTCTGCACTAAGAGAATCTTCACCGATATTTCTAAGTTTTTTTAATTCTAAAAATAAAATGATTTTATCAAGAAGGGAAACAATTTAAGTGACTGTTGTCGTCCTTTGGGATATAGTCAAGGCTCCAAAAGGACAGCTATGATTTGCAGGCGTAAATTTTAGACCACTCTGACTTTTGTTTTTTGCTAAACGTGTTACTGCTAATAATATTCTTATTCATTAGAATAGATCTTTAATTTAATGTCAATTGTTATAATATTTTAATTACAGATATTGGTAAAAGTAGTCTTTATGGAAATATATTAAAAAGCACCGCACTCTTTTTTACAATAAAATATTTTTTTTTGTTAATCACAGTATTTTTAATTTAAATTTATTGAAAATTATTTTCTACTTTTTAGTTTGCTTTTCTATTAAAGCATGTTTTTTTAGTTTCTTAAACTATTATATAGGAAATTTTATCATTTACAAAGTCAAAATAATTTAGTAAAATGTTGAAATTCAGATGTCACAGGAAGAAGGAGAAATAATTATTAATTTTAAATAAATAATATCTATAATAAATATTTCTAATCTATAATTTTTAAAATATATACCTACAATAAACATTATTTAAACTTTAAATGCCCTATTAAAAATAAACTTTTAGATCTTAATCCTATTTTTTTTTGTATTTAATTTATAAATAGCCATCATATATGTAAACAACTCATTTGAAATCCGTAATTAGATACGATTAGCACGTTTACCTGCAGTAAAATTGTTTACAACCCTAACCCTGGCCACGTGGAGTTCATTTAGACGGTACTCTGCTCATAGAAAAGATTTTTGAACATCATTATGTTGGCCAACAAGCCAAATAAGTCACTTTGAAACGTCGACAAAAAGTAAGATATCACAATATACAATAACTAACCACCGAAACTGTCTACCATTACGAAAAAAAATATTTGTCTTTCAGGCAACGTTGTTAACCATTTGTGGATATTCTATTGGCTAAGTACGAGGTCTGACAATTAAGTAATAAGACTGATTTTTTGCCACGCAAGTGAAAATACTGTGATCCTGAGCTAGTATTCAGGAACGGTATGCCCGTCGAGCAGGATTGTTTTGGAACAGGTTGAACATGATCCAGAAAGATTCAACATGATCCAACCTTTCAATTATTGGCGACGAGAGTTGATTATTTCAGTATAATTCTGAAACAAAACGGCAAAGCCAACAATGGCTGTCTCCTGGCTCAGCAAGGCCAAGAATGACAAAATCCAAAGTCTTTTTTAACACCAAAGGGGTGGTCCATAAAGAGTTCGTGCCACCTGGGTACATCATTAATCAACAATTCTACCACAAAGTACTCGAAAGATTGTGAAAGAGTTGTTAGAGTCCGTCCGGACACCGTCCATGAAAATGCGCCATGTCATCGTGCCTTCAGTGTGACGCAATTTTTGACCTTAAAAACATTCCAGTGTTTCCGCCCACCGTATTCCCCTGATATAAATCCTTATAACTTTTTTATGATCCCCGGGTCAAACAAGTCGTGAAAGGAACGCATTTCGAGTCGGTGACGAGCGTACTCCAGGAGCTGCCAGTCGAGGTGTTACCGAGAACTGGAAAAGCGGTAGACTCAGTGTGTAGCTGTCCAAGGGGAGTATTTTGAAGGAAATCATATCGAAGTACCTTCATTTTAAAATATACGTGTTTTTGCAATCGGTCTCATTACTTATCAGACCTCGTATGAGCGCGAATAAAAAACACTATAGTTATTTAATACCAATTTGCTTCTAAATGCCTAAATAAATGATAAGGTTTTCTTAGAACACTAAATACCTCCATTGATTGTTTTTATGTAAATAGAATTAAAATTCCGATGGATTGTTATACCTTGTGATTTTATCTATTCAAGCTAAAGAACATGTTTACATGGAATGTCCGCTGTATGAACCAGTAATTGCAGAGATTTTCCATACAAATTTTCAATTTATCTACTTTATTACTGCGGAAAATGAGCAACAAGTTTTTCACAAAATTGATTTTTTGAAATTAACTAATTTTTATTCGATTGACTTTTTAATTAAATATGCAAATAAATATGTAGTGCGTTTAAAAATAAAAATGTTTCCTCTTGTTTGATATTTTGCAAAACCCCTATAAATGTCTTTAATTAAAAGTTTTAGTTTTTGTTATAGATGCAACGGCTTTGGACATATCACATATCAGATCTCGTCCATATATATACTTTTTAATTGAAATGTATTGTTCTCGAAAACCGTTAGTGATACATAAAAATAAAAATCTACAAAAAAAAATCAACAAAAAAAGAATAGCATAAATCATTGGAATGCTAGTAAAAAATGCTTTTCAATTCTGTACACATTTTATCAGTTAATGATGGATATTAAGCATCTTTTCAAAAACCAGAATGTAAAAAATATTGGCTCTACTTGATAAGACAGTCGCCTAAAAAATGTCGTGTGCACCTCGGCCGTATAATCTTTTTTGGCCTAACCCGAACCTGCTTGGCCTCGGCTACTCCTCGGCCGCAAACCTCTGACTCGACCAAAAAGATCAACTTTACGGCTTTGTAATACAATTACACAATTAACTATAATACTTACGTTGGAAGGCTTTATGATGTTCATTTTTTATCACAAATAAATATTTAGGACTTTCTGGCAGTATCGGTAATAATAAGGCACACAAAATTAGAGGAATTACATATGCAGCAATACAGTGAGGCCAATAATTGTAATTACCTAAAAAAAATTAACAATTTATTGATATTCCGTGATTAAATAAATCAAAAGAAGTTACTGTCAAGAAACCCGAAATTTTCAAAATATGTTTTTAGAATTGTTCAAATTTATTTATTTGTATACCTAATAAATCCCGCATTGATACAATTTGACCTGCTAAAACACCAATTGTCACGCCTAGTGGACAAAGTACACCAGTTGAACCTCTAAGTTCTAGTGGAGCCAATTCGGTAAGATACATAGGAACAACACTTGTAGTAAGACCTACAAAAAATTTATCATTTTAGTCGTGAAATATAGTAATTAACTTATTTTAAATAGGCATTACTTCTAAAACGGCATGTTAAAATTAATCACTTATTAAAGTAACTTATTTCTAGATTTTAGATACAATTAGATTAGTAAATTGAGAATTTTCACTAAAACATTTTATGTTTACCTGAGCAAAGTCCAATTAATAATCTTCCTAGAAACAATAATTCTATTGACATAAGTGGTCTGGACGAGACAAATACAGCTGCCGCAAGAGTTCCTAAGATTGAACAAACGAACAAAACACCTTTTCGACCAATTTTATCCGCAAGAACGGATCCACCCAAGGAACCTATTGCTGCTCCGACTAGAAAAATTGCCACTATCGACGACCATATCAAATCCAGTTGGTAAAAGGTGACGGAAGTACTGTATCGCTCTTTTATAGCTTCTTGGCAAAAGTTTTTTATGACCTACCAATAATATCAAAATCTATAGAAAACATTTAATCTTTGTTAAAAAAGCTACACAATATCATGAGTAGATAAATTTTTTTTTTTTAGAGTTGTGTCTCCATAACCTGAAACGTTTTTCTTCGAAGTTTCATACGTTTTTTTCTCATTTACGTAAATTTAACTAATTTATTTCGCCCAATTTGCACATCCTGCTAGCACCTCGATTGAGGTTAGCTTTCTGGGATCTACTTTCGCCCTTTGCCACAGCGTACCTACTATAAGTAAGTTGTTACTCTACTCCAAATAACATAATTATCGTTACACTTTTTCAAATTATGACATATAAAAGGACATTTTTTGTAATCGCAACAAATGTCAAAATAATCTACTTTACGCAACCAGTTGCATAATGTTGAACAATATGACACAGGTTTCGAAATAGCTTTATGTAACGTGTTACATAAAAGATTTTTTCTAATTTTGACTTGATTATTTATAAAATTGTGTTTGGTTAAAAAATGATTCACCATCATTCTTTTGTAGGTACTTCCAATCAAATATTTCAGAAAATTGTTGTATTTGATTGCCCTATGACGTTTTTTTAAACGTAATATTTAAAAAAATCCATATGGATCCAACTTTATCGCACACACTGTATATTTTTCCAATTTGGAGCGATTGGAAATAGTTTGAAATAAATAACAAGTGACATTTGTAACTTGCAAAACGGTTTTCGTTTTCTCTTATTACTTCGAATAGCATCATTTACTTTCATAAGGGAATAAGGGCATGAATCCCCTTTATAATTTAACTCGATTTTTTTTTTCGGTTTCCATCATAACATTTTGTCTTGTCACGACATCAATGTCCTGAATTACTACTGTAAATTATATCAGTGACAAATTCGCTGTGACATCAAATATCGTCAATCGCTATTTCATTGCATTGTTAGTTGCATAACTACCTGTAAAATGATATAATTATTTCATTTCAACCACTTGTGTTGTCGGGATGGCTAAACGTTGAATTACATAAGACATTAATTCGTGTTTCTTTACAATAAAGGCTTATTATCCTGTATTTAGGGAATGTTTGATGAAAATAAATACCTAGTTATTATAGGTAAATAATGTCAAATCGTCTAACATGACTATTACTAACTTCATACTAATCTGATACATTTAATTTTCAAAAATCATTAGGACAAACAGTTTTCATTTTCGTTTTAAACTAGTTTTTAAGAAAGTGTGTTATTTTGCAAAAGTAGGTACATGATTATTGATATTTTTAATTGTTTCTCTATAAAAGTCATGCCTGTGTCGTGTAGCAGTATTTTGATGATTTTGTGCAAAATTAGAATGGATCAAGACTGTTTCAAATCAGCGACGGAACCAGAATTACAAATCGTAAGTTTCCTGACAAAATCTATTTTTATATATTGCCAGACTTTCTTTCTTCGATATAATCTTTCAAAAGCAATGTAAATTTTGATTTAAAAGCAAAAAAACGCATCAAAAAAACGCATTTTTATTTATTTTAATTTCGTAACTGGCGACATAATCAACTTTTCGTAATCAGTTGCATAATGTTCTACTTTATGCAACTGGTTGCATGAAGTAGATCGTTTTAACACTTGCTGCGATTACAAAAGATGTCACCAGTTGCGAAGAGGAAACAAATAAAAATAAACCTTTTTGGTTTTAAAATCTATAATTTACATTATTATTGAAAATTTAAATCAAAGAAGATCAGGTTGGCTTATAAAAGTAGAATTTGGTTAAACTTACAACCTAGTAATAATATTGTTCTGGTCCTTATTTTCCATTCTAAATCAGCACAAAATAATTAAAATGCAATACATGACAAAATAACCCACTTTCTTGTAATCTAAATAACTTTAACAATAAATATAAACACACTACAATAAGTCATTAAGAATAAATAAATGTGACTTTCTATTTATCAATAAAAGGATAAAATTAATCGTATGCAACTAACAATACAAGAAAGTAGTAATTTTATAAATAATCTAGTCAAAATTATAAAAAAATATTGTATGTTATGTAACTCGTTTATGTCGCGGGACCTCGCTCTGCTCGCCCAGCAAATCTACACTCATTACATAAAATAAGCCATTTCGTAACTGGTTTCATAAATACGTATTACTAATCGATATCTGTACTATTTTATTTATTTCTAAAACCCTATATTTTAATATACTTAATTTTGTCTATAGATTTTATAAACTCCGTAATGGTACTATCCGAGAATACCGATCAAGGAGAAGCGACAGCTTGGTGTTTTCAGTGTACCGTTTTTTAACGCGCATGCGCGAAAATAAGTTGTGTATCACTCAAAATCACATACTTTAATTTTCTTTTACTATACGGAGAATGGTCGCACTGCGCAGCTTTCTGAGTGCCTTTTAAAAGGAGATAGAAAACTCCGCCATTTTGAACCCTTATTACGTGTTGCATACATCTTGGCGCAATATTTTTAATAGGTGACAGGTTAGAACGACTGAACCGACAATTCCGGAAGCAGAAGCGGATGATTAAAACGCACCTGATATTTTGCTTGCTGCTGTCAGTGTCAGTGAATATTATTTTTGGAGTCACAGTTTATTGCTAAAGAATCAGTTAGCTTACTCGGACCAGTTGAAAGTTCCAAAATAACATCCACTCCAGGGATACAAATTCCGGATACGCAGAAGACTGCTGTTTTATTATAGGCGGTTGTCATATATTGTATTATCTGAGTTGCGCAGTGTATAAACTGGAACATTGAGATAAAAAGTGCCGACGCAGAGTGAGCGATCTGATTCTTTAGCTATAAACTGTGTCATAGGGTTCAAAATGGCCGCGCCCTATGTTGTGCGTGTCGGACCTCTCTCTGGCCCCGTATAGTAATCAAAGTATGTGCTCAAAATGATGTTATCTGTCAAAGTCAGTCCAAGTTGTGTTTAGTACGTGAGCAATGTTAAGTGATATTTTTTGGTGTCGTCTAGCGATTGAAAGCGTAAAACGATAATGGATGTGTCGTGAGTTCGATTCCTACTCAGGTCAAGCGATCTTTAATTAAAAAAAAATAAATGGTGTATAGCAGTTTGTGAAAATAATAAACAAATTATTAATAATATAAAATAGTGTGTTGTGAATTGCGGTTCTGTAATAAAAGTGGGGATGTGGTCTCAATGGAAATATAATCCTGGACGTTTTTTGAATGTCCTGTATTCGACGTCCAAATATATTCCAGAATTGGACGTCCTCTGAATGGTCAAAAGTGTGCCATTTGTATACTTCACTGGACGTCCATTGGATGACGGAAGTCCAGCAAAAATTCATTTTTGGACGTCTAGACATCCAAAATTGTATATCGAATGGACGTCCAATGGACATATTTGTATTGTCTGGGTGATAGCCAGGCCAAGTATTTAACTCTAAATACATAAACCTTAAATGACAGATGAGTAATAAACTTGAAAGTCCTTTTAATATAATATAAATCCAGAAATTCTAAAAATATGTACGTACTTTTTAAACCTAGAAGCTTAGAAAATATATGCACATTGCAAATATTTAGTTAAACCTCTCAAACTTAATGTCTTTTTAATTGTTACCTAAATTTTTTTTTGGTACCTACCCTTAATTTTATTTACCTTATTTTTACTTAAGGAAAAGGTAATTTAATTTAAATATGGGGCTTTTATTACATTTTTAACAATAAATAAACCAAATATTGAACAAATTTTATAGATGAATTATCAAATAATACACGTCTTTTACTTTTATAACAAATAATTAATTATTACGTAATGAATTATATTTTGGTGCCGAAATTTCACCACTGCTATTAACTATAACTACTTCAATGTAATTAAATCACATTACAACATTTGCGCATGGACTATAACAATGATTTCAGATAATTTGCCAAATTATTTCGCTCAGTGTAGAAAATATGCATGTTTTCTCAGCGTGCTAAGTTGTGTATCAATCAAAGTCATGCTGTGAAAAAGGTTCATCCGATATTAGGTCTTTTCCTTTGCATTGAAGGTGTAGCAATGAGCTACACCACTTCTGAAAATATCGTTCCATCCATACAATTTGTATAAATGGAACGATATTTTCAGAAGTGGTGTAGATCAGTGCTACACTTTCGATGCAAAGGAAAAGACCTATTAAAGGCACCGACAGCTACTGTCGCTTCTCCTTGATCGGTATTCTCGGGTACTATAGTCAAAGTTTATTAAATTTTGTTTCGTTTTTTGGTTCCTTATTGATCTCTGACAACCTATCTATCATGCTTCGTTAGGTTCTCAAACCCACTTTGAGAATATACTGTCGACAAAAACTGACTTATTTTGATGAAGAGTCCTTTGTGTTACAGGTATCACGTTCTGACTACTAATTTAATGATCTTATAAAAGATAATTTCATAAATTTAACCAGGCTTCGAATCAACTTTATTTTAGACAATCGTAAATGTAATTTTAAATCTTAAAACTATATTTCATGCTGCCACAAAGTATAGATATAAGGAGTCCGAACGGTATAGGCTTTTTTGTAGCATTCATGTACACAAATATTAAATCCAGATCTTAGTTCTTTTTTCTGCCACTGGCTGCGCAAATATTCAGGACGTAGAAAAGCAAATGAGAAATTAGGAAAAGTGGCTTTATTCAAAGCACCGAAAGTGAGCAACCTCTAAATAATATTATTATTAATTAAACTAGTACTTCTTCAAAAGAGGCGCGCCCTAGCGGCAAAAAGTCTGTCCCCCAAATTGATGTCATTCATTCAACATTACGTTCGGACCACAAAGCACATAGAGGTTCCACATTTTTTATGCTATTTGCTCCAAACTCTAGATGGGGCTACTGGCGAAATTCTGATTTCTTACTCCATTTTTAAGCTTTATGGGAGAAAAACTTAACCAAAGACTCCAAAGATGTGAGGTGTATTTATTTATGTTTTTGGTTAGTCTCATTTTTCCGTCTGATTTTAGTGATTTTTTGTTGGCTTTGGCTTTTGGTTTCTGTTTATAGTTTCGTCTTAGTTATTTGCAAAATAGTGATGTTTCGCTATTCTATTTCCTACTGTGTTTTGCAATAATTTTGGTGCTACCTGTGGGTGCTACGTTGAAAACTTCGAGAAAAACTTATTGATTCACCATGGATCTGCATCATAAAAAGACAAACGGGTATAACAACTAATTGATAATCAATTTATCACTGGACTAGATTCCGAAATCATTTTTCACATAAGAGAGTAATACACAAAGCAGTGAAGTAATACCACTATCTGTATTTGGAAGGCAAATACCTATTTATCATTGAATGAATAGTTAAAAGGATTCACCGTTTAATACAATACCTATATTACATTTGTCCTCGGTTTAAAAGACATTTATAAAATATATTATTTTAGTGTTAATAAAATGTAATATCCTAGTCTCTACTTCACATTTAAATTATTGATAGGTATTTTAAAGATTTGAGATTGTATACCTATTTGCTGCAAGTAAGTATTCGTTAAATATGTATTATTTGTATTTATTTTTATCTAATAATATTTATTTAAGTTATTAATAAACATATTTTAAAAATGTTCTATTTTATTATTTATATTGATATATCTTATATTTATTTAATAATAATATGCAGAACCAACTCTCCAAATCAGACCCCTGCTTATAACAAATTAATTCCTCAAATTTGGTATAATCGACCTAAATTATTTTGTAAAATAAAAGTTTCGAACTTACTAGTTCCATACTTTATTTTATAAAATAATTTATGTGGAAATCATTTAAAATTTAATTTAAAACTACTACCTACTCCTAAAAATTACAATTTGAATTTACCGCCATCTGTCATTTTAGTTCCAGCTCCAAACACAAGGTGGCGCTAATTTGGTTTAAAAGTTTAACATTGGCGTGGGGTCTCTAGAAGATACGTGCTTTGTGGTTCGGACTCCTTATATCTATACTTCGTACATGTGGCGTAAAGTGATAATTTTTAGGCGGAACTTAATTCTATTATATTCTAGCAATATAAAAAATTATTATTTTTGAATGAAATATCACTAACCTATAAACTCGTTTTCGTATGAATAAAAATTAGATTTCAAATGAGTTTTTAATGGTTTGTTTTTCATAAAACAGCACTTACAAAACAATACAAATAACATGCAATTTATATAGTTACCTCAGCTGGTGTATTTACAACTCCTATGTTGTATCCTACTGGCAGTGATAATCCTAAAGTTGTTAAAACTCCAGCCAAAATCAAAAGAGTCGACCATCCTGGACGTTCTATTGAAATATCCTTTAAAATAAATTATTTTAAATGTCTTGGTAGACTCGAATTGCTACTTGAAAAGTGTACGTGTAGGTAGAGGGGGTACACCTCGAACCTATTCCAAGTCACTCATGTGGATTAAGTGGGGAAACTGTAAAAAGATACCTTTCAAGTAGCGAGCAGAGTCTAGCTTAGATCGTTCTTCGCCTTCTTTAATAGACGTTTTTTATTAACATTTAATTATATATCTTTATTTCTATTTCTCCAAAAAATCACGACTTGGAGCACTTTAGATTTTAAATAGTCACAAAAAATAAAATCAATTGGATCAAAGTCTAGTGGTCACAGGAACTTGACACTTCCACACCTCGACCAGTCCACTTATTATTTTAACATTGTCTAAAAAATAGTCTACAAATAAATATGTGGGATGCTTAAATAGTTATTAAGAAATAAGTAATAATTTATATTGCATATACAGTATCGGCCACTGAACGTTTTCCAATACGTTTTGCACAAGTGCATGTGAACACTACAATAAGTTAACATTAGAGCGAGCAGGAAACGAATAAAGTCAGCGTTGAAAGTTTATACAGCCCGACCGCATTGTAACGTTGGCTAGGCCGTATAAACTGGCATCACTGATATTATTGCTCGTTCTAATGCTAACTCTTTAACAACTTTGTTATAGACATAGAAAAATAAAAAGGTTATAGGTTCAAATATACACTGAACAATGGCCATTAAAAATTACGCCTTTCTATTGGAACAATTTAATTGCACATGGCATTGACACACAATTTACTACAAATTTATTTCAAGTACGTAGTTACTTACTTTTTCGTCTTTTGCTATATTTAGGCTAGGAAGTACATTGTGTAAATGAGTATGGTTAATGAACTTTGACTGAGTATTTATAGACTAACAATATAGATACTTCTGTTTTTGATATTGTAATAAAATATTGTAAAAAGTTGTTTTCTAAGAATTTTTAATAATGAAAAGTCTAATTTGTTTAATCATCCAATTTATTGTTTAATTATACAAACTTTAAACATTTAGGAACATTGGCCATTTTTATGTCAGCTGTGTTCACATTTTTTATGCGGGATAATCGGAATAATACAAAATTATTTTATCTCATGCCACAAGTTTGTCACAAAATATATTTTTTAAAGTCCAGTTCAACAGAAAGAAAACTTGATTTGTTTTTATACAGGGTATAACAAAAAGACAGTTCATAATTTATACCAGCTATTTTGGAATCAAAAATAGGTTGGCCGAACCTACCTATAAAGTGTCGGCCATGGAACGTTTTTCAATACGCTTTGCACAAGTGCATGTGAAAACTATAAAGAGTTAGCATTAAAGCGAGCAGGAAATGAATAATATCAGCTTTGCCAGTTTATACGGCCCGACCGCGTTAAACTGGCAACGCTGACATTATTCCTTTCCTGCTGCCTCTAAAGCTAATTCTTTAGTTTTCACACGCACTTGTGTAAGCCACATTGGAAAGCGTTCGATAGCCGGTACTGTATATAAAAGTGCGTACAAAAATAGTTAAAGCATTTTGAAGATACAAATTGAAAATAGATTTTTTCAATAACTTGGAACTTAAACAAGTTGGCATGAAAATAGGCAACATTTCAACAAAAAAAAAAATAAATAAGGAAACAGTGCAACCCATGAAATTTTTATGGGTTTGGGATCTCCTAGACCTCCAAACTTTCGTAGATATCATAAATAGGTTATTATTGTACCACACCACCTTTGGTTTAACACATTATTTTTGGAAATTGTTGCCCCCTAGTCCTTTTTCCAAAAATAAATCACGTACGCCAACTTTTTCGATAAGTAATCACAAAAAAATACTTCAGGATGTTCAACCAGATCTAACTTATGAAACTTTTATTAACAGGCCACTTACTTGTAGAGTTCAGTTATTGGAAAATCTATGGATAAGCTTAAAAGTTGATAAAAGTCAATGACGGCTCATGAGCTGCGAAAGTCTCCCCGTGTCAATTGGCTCGAGGGTGGGGATAATGGAAAATTTGTTTTATTTCTTTATTTTTTCAATATCATAGAAAAATACCACACTGCCCTGCTCCTTCTCAATAGTCAACAAACAAAATGAAATATATTTCTTATAGTAAAAAGTCTAAAATAATTATTCTATACCAACTTTAAAAAAGCAAAACTGTCGCCTTTTCATCTAATAATTATTATTATTTTTAATATTATTACTTAATGCTGACCGGCCGCGAAATATTTGCAACCCGAATCTGCAATAAAACATCCGGTTGCAAGACGTACGCGTTAATAGAGCGTGTCCCACTACGTTTCCATGGTGAGGCGGACCTATATCTCGTTGTGGCCGTTAATAGTCCAGTTGCAGACCACATGAATTATTATTAGGAAGGATTTGGAGAGGACATAGTAGTAAATAACACTCACAGTATGAGTCTAGGCGATAGGAAAAATTATAAAATAAACAAATATTTTTGATTAAGATTTTATTCCCTGGTATTTTTGAGGAGGGGCGTGCGGTCATGCGGTCTTAAAGAGAAGCCGCCCCTGATAAAAGTATGAAGTTGAGTTAAGTAACCACCAAAAGCAACATAATAGTAAACCGTTTGACAGGAAGCTTTCGACTTATTTGCAAAGTTCTAGGGAAGCTTGTATAAAATAATTTTATTTGACAGGGTAGAAAACATTGTTAATATCATGGGTTATCGAGTCAAGGATTTCACCGTGGACAGGGCCGACAAGAGGGGGGTAGCCAGGACTAATTCCTGGGGCCGGGCTCAAAGTGGGGGCCCGGAAGCGGCATAAGGGGGGCCCGGCAGTTTTGATTAAGACGTTTTTTATTTATTTTTGTAGAAGTTCGGCACAAGAGTTATGACCTTTTTTTTAGAGATTGCATTAAAGAGGAGGAGAAGTTAGACTACAGACTTTGTTTTTTGCTTGAAGACTTTTTTTTAGAAATGAGATATTGAAAGGGTCTAATTTTTGTATAAAATTGTCGCAGGGTCCGATCTGAAAAATTGTCCCGGGGCCCGACCTAGCTCTCGGCGGCCCTGACCTTGGAACTGGATAGAATTTGAAAACAAAAGTTAGATCATGGTGAATTTTTCAATGACTTGTAATGGAAGAAATTAGAAATATAGATTTGTAATAATTATATAAAGGATGATTTTTGTATACTTTGGGTAGGTACTGGTTGGACGCATGAAGTTTCTCAGCTGCTTTAAAAACTACACGGTAAACATCAGTGTCATATGAGGCTTTTTAGACAATTATGGCTGGCTTTGTTGATGACGAGATTCGATTACAAATTCCCAACTTTTTTCTGTGAGGACCGTAAGACTAAACCTACCTGTTTATTCGAAGGTACCTATAGTTTATATTGGTATTTGCTTTGAAATTTTTCGCAAATGTTTGTGTTCAAAAATGACAAACGTTTTTTCACAGATACTTCAGTTACTATATTTATAATCCACATACATTTACACACATTTTAAGCGCCAAAGTACAGAGCTCTCTCTCTCTCTCTCGTTGAAAATGTCCAGTAATTTAAGCATTAGCACTATCTCCTTCACACTCATAAATCTGTTTCATTCTCACTAACATAAATATAGTGAAAAATAGACCGTTAAATGCATCCACAGGTTCTATCTTTCTCTGCAAAAATCACACGGAACCATCATCCGATGCTTCCTCAGCCAATCACGACGAGACAAATTCACAATTCCACTTCCACTCGACTAACCATGAGACCTCTTTTGACCTACAAATCAAGATCTTTGCTTTCTACAGTCGCGAGCTCGACGCTATTCACTAAAAACATAAATTATGAGAGGCATTAAACCTGCTGATTGATCATAAATCTTAAATTTAAGTACTAGCTATAATTTCACTATGTAAAATTGTTGTAAGCTGAAGAAATTTATAGTTTAAATAAAGTTGTTAACTGAAGAATATTTAATTTCATCATTAACATATAAATTCTGACAACTCATCTACAAGCATCACATTTCTACTGGCTACATTACTACACTCTACTGCTCCCAGCTGCTGGGAAGAAATCCTTTCTGTGTCGGCGATTGAGAAGAAATCAAAGTCACAGAGAACATTATGAGCGTTTCCTTATTTAAACAATAAAAAAATAGATAATAGTGTTAAATGTAGAGGTTTTGGTGTTTCCCTGTACATTTAACTTAGTTCCCAAGGCTATAATGAACTGCTTACATTAAAGGTGGTGTTTTTCTCCTTGTTATTGTAGACCGGCTACAATTAACACCATTTAATTGAAATTCTTCGAACTGTTATATCACTATTTACATACTAATACTGCACCACTGTAGAAAATTAATCGCATAAAAATAATCGGTTTTTCCAATACTACTTCTTGACACGTCTGCTCTATAATTTTTAAAGTAATGGCGGTTTTCCACTAAACGGACAAAACAAAAACAAAACACAAACTCGTGTCAAGAAAAACAAAACTGCAACTTTTCGCAAACTTTTTAAAAACTGGCGTGTTTTGAGACAGTTGAAGTTTTGTTTCTCCAAGTCCCGCTCGAAAGCAGTAACATCAAAAGGTTTTGACGTGTTTTGAAACTCGAGTCTGTTTACTGGAAACGGCAGTGTAGTATAAATTTTGTTTTGTACCAAATTGGTACCTATAGGTAAGTAAATAACGTATTTTTTTAATAGATAGTAGTAAAAAGTAATTTATTTTGAAACGCTGGATAAATTTATACAGTATATTTATTAGTAGAATATACGTATATGTGAGTGTCACAGCCAGACTAGGTTAAGTCCAAATATTGTCCTTTTTAAGTTTTTATTATGTACGTGACTTTTAAACTACTTACAAAAACAAAACTGTAACAAAATGTAGTCCGCTTGATGGAAACAAGAGTTTTGGGTTTGTCTCAGTTTTGTTTTCAAGTTCGAGAAAACACAAACAAAACATAAAGGCAACTGTCCGTTTAGTGGAAAACCGTCTTTAGTGTTCACATGAC